AATACTTTTAGTTTTCAGTCCTGTTCAAAAATATAGTGGAGTAGAAAGGACAGATACCTGCTCTCAAATGTAGTGAAGTAAAAGGAAAAAATATGCACTTTAAAATCTACTTAAGTAAAGTAAAGCTCAAATTAACACTTAAGTACAGTACTTTACTACATTTGCTTTGTTACCTTCCACCACTGGACTATAGTTCAGGTCAGCATGAGTCAGACATATAATCATGGTAGAAATATGAAAATAGGATGTAAAAGACGTTAATGTATTAATGCATAGAAAAGAGGGGTCCCCAAAGTGCTCATTTATGTTGTGAATTTATGAGAGGAGCTAAATAATGAAGGAGCAGGGAGTTTATGATGAGAACAATCAAAGCGCAAGTAGCCTCCAGTCAAGGCTCCATAAAACATGAGTGTGTGTATTTGTGGCCTTCCTATTGCAGTACATGTGCGCTGGAGATGTAGACGGGCTTTGTAATGGAGAACAGCAACGGTTTAATAATCAAATTGAGTGGAGCTTTTAAATTTGTTTTAATAGTTATTTTATTTTTATACCAAAGGAACCAGTCATCACTCTGTCATTCCCATAACTACTAGCCTTGACGAGCTTCATTTGACTGGAGCCTAACACTATGGGTGACGTCACACTCCCTTAGTTAGAGCTCTTCTTTATACAGTCTTTGGACACACTAAGCCAGTTTCAGAAAGTACTGTGTGCTCAGATTTGTGTATTTCATGACCATTCACACATGATCAGCTCAGTGGTCACTATTTTCATTTACAACAAAAAAATCTAGCTTCACCTCAGATGACCTCAGAATTTTGTGCTTCGCTCATTGTTTCTGCAGAAATACGCAATGTTGTTATTTATTTTTTATTTTCATTGTGAGCAGCCATATTTGTTTTGATACAAATGGACCATGTGTGTCCCCGATTATATGCTTGACCTGACAGGTTTGTAGAGTATTGACGAACAAATTATGATAACATTTGACAGTTGTGGGTCAGTTTGGATGTTTTTTTCAAAAACATTGGATCTTAAGCCCCTGTCTTCAATCTGAAATTATTATTATTACTATTGTTCTCCATTTTTATAAACCAGTGTTCAAAAAATATCAGTGTGCTCCAGTCTCCTGCCCCTGCTTACTGCCTGTGCTTCTTGCAGTTGTGCTGCTCGCTACAATGAGGCACTATAGAGACAGTGTCATTCGAGATTCTGGCTCTGTAATGTAATGACATTCGGATTGATATAGTTATGGGGCAATCGAGAAACTATTTTGCAGTTTTGAACCACAAGTCCATAAAACTGTTTTGTTTAGCAATAACCTGGCTTGTGTCAGACTGATATTTGTGCCACTCTGATTTGAGTTCTACACATGAATCAGTCTGGGATGGCTCTCACTGACAGAGATGGGGACCTATCAGAAAGTTCAAAGGAATACTAACAGACATCTTTCCTGTTCACAAACACACAAAGTGCTTACATTCTGCACATTTTTCACAAACAAAATAGTCTGTATATTATGCAGAGAGTATGTCTGTTTGTGCCACATGCTTGTTTTGAATCACTTGGGAGTGGACCCATCAGTGTCCAGGTCCTATTGCACCAAGCAGGCCAAGATGTTTTCTCATCAGTTTGTAAACTCATAAACATTGTGGGACTCCATCTTGCTGCACAAGGTGAGATTAGCAAACTGTTTTAGACCAGTAATGGAGCTGCAATGAACAAAGACACAACGACATTTCAGATACTTTGTCTTCTTTAATTCACCTCATTTGTTTGTTTTTTACCTATTTTGTATGAAGATTAATTATGCAACTTTAGCTTTAAGTCAACATATTCTAGGTAGACAAAATAATTCGCCCTATTCCCAAACCTGCATAAATTGCTTTAAAGAAGATACAGGCAAAATAAATACGCAAATCGCTGTATACAACTAAAGGCTTCTCAGAACTAAGAGGTATTTGAGTCCAACGTTTGCAGTATCTATGAGAAATGTCATCTTTTCCATAACCTGAAATGATTCAATGTAGCATTCGGTAAGTTGCTGTTATTGTTACTTAGAAATAATCAAATAAATCAAAAATGAACTGAAGTTGTGTAAACAGGAGGTGAAGGCTCTTGGCATAAACAGTGTTATAGACCATGAGAACAGAGCTCTTGTTTTCCAGAGAAGGACAACCCTGGATGTCTGTAGGAGGTTGTTTTGCTCTGACTGAACCAGAACATAAGGTTTTTTCTTCAGTTTAAAGAAAATCAATAGCAGAGAGCAGAAATAATGAGGGAGAAAGTGTCTGCTCGATGTATCATGTTCAATGCAGTCTTAAATGCAGCATGTTCTAGCAGTTACAAAGAAAATGTCCTCATATTAACCTTAATGGGGACATATCGTAACATCAACATCTATGGGCTTTTAATCTTTTTTATAACAGTGTTCCCTCATCACTAGTTTATTCTAAGTTGTTTGATTGATTCAGGCATGTTTGAGTAGTCATGTTTTGTCTGCATTTCCGCCTTCACTTATCCTCTACCCTCTAATATTATGAGACATTTGGGGGCAATATCGACCAGTAAATCATCTTATTATGCCACTTTACAAGCCAAAAAAGAGGATATTGGCTGAATCGATATCTTGAAAGCCGATATCCAGTTCTCCATCGATGCTGATAATTGATACCAGTATTGTATTGGCGTATCCCTAGTAAACAAATCACATTTTTCAGCCAATGTAAATTAAAATCCGCTTCTGCCGTTGGGGAAATGCACTCTGAAGAGACTCTCTGTTCTACAATTTGAAAAGGAAGTCATTAGACCTTTTTCTAGTACTAAGCCGCAGCAGATCAATATTGCAGTGTACAATGAACAAAGTGTAAATTAAGGGTCCAAAATTGCCTCTTGTGATCTTTTAGCTATTTTAGAATGTTGCTGCTTCATCAAAAACATACCTGGAGTTGTGTTTTGTTTCATTCACAAATGTTTCAGTATTCCTTTATTACTAGTCTGTCTATATCTCCAAAGTTCAAAATGCTCTTTCCACCTCTTTTGGTTGTTTTCAAATTAACAGCTAGGTTTTGTTTTGTTTTTTTTATCTTTTGTTCAGTAGAGATGATCAATTCCAGGGCTGAAATTATCCAGATAATTTTAATGAAGATGTATGGAGTTTAAAAACACAGTGGAGCACTTTCTGTATTCTGTTTGAGAGAAGAACTCAGTCTAAATATGACGGGTTTATGTGTCATACATGTGTGAATGAAACAAAACACAACTCCAGGTATGTTTGTGATGAGGAAACAATATTATAACATAGATCAGAAAATAGTGTAATGCGTAATGGTCCATTTAAGAAACAGATGCTATATAGACCCAAATCACGAGTCGGTAACTAGTACAATATAACTAGAACAATTAACTCAATGTACTAGTTAGGGGTGCCAAATTATCGCGTTAATTGCGATTAATTAATTACAGTCATATTTAGCACGTTATGTTTTTTAATCGCGTTAATCTCATTTTTTATCTCTAATTTTAGTGTTTCTGTATGCGAGTTGCTTTATTATAAAATCTGTTTTTATGTGTTGTTGGGACAACAACACACACACAAAAAAAACACATTTATACATTTTTTTATTTCGGTAATTCCACTCATTGCCGGAAACCCACACAAAACGCGCGCAGTAAGAGCGATGTAAACGTCATGTTAACGTTGGCGGCGTCAGTCACACAGTGGACGAGGTCGAAGAGCCAGTAGAACAGAGGCAGCAGTGCACAGGTAAAAACACATTCGTGTCTTGGAAATTCTTCTCCCGACGTGAAATATAAAAGAAAATAACAAATATAAAATCACCTACAACTTAAATGTCACTGGTGAAAATAACCTGCATAGGCTCATGATGTCTGCACTACTGTCCTATAGTGACCTGCCACATGAGGGGACACGCACACAACACAACACAACACACACAACACACACACAAACAAACACACACCTTCATCATCGTCATTAACCTGAGAACGCGCGGACCACGTTTCCTTCCGTAGACACTGCGCGGACACCGACGTGCTCCCGTGAGCCGCGTGTGGATCGTGTTTTCACGCGTACGCGGCGTAAACCGCGCTTCCTCCTGTGAGCCTCTAACCCAGAACTAACACAAAGACTAAAACCAGGACTAATCCAGTCCAGGTCTAAACCAGGACTAAACCAGAACTAAAACCAGAACTAAAACCAGAACTAAAACCAGGTCTAAACCAGGACTAAACCAGGTCTAAACCAGGTCTAAACCAGGACTAAACCAGGACTAAACCAGAACTAAAACCAGAACTAAAACCAGGTCTAAACCAGGTCTAAACCAGGTCTAAACCAGGACTAAACCAGGACTAAACCAGAACTAACACCAGGACTAAAACCAGGATTAATCCATTCCAGGACTAAACTAGGACTAAAGTAGGACTAAAGCAGGTCTAAACCAGGACTAAAACAAGGACTAAAACCAGTGATCTCATATATAAAGCATTTCTCTATATCAATAATATTTTTTAATATGGTTAAGGAAAGACTGGACTTTTTATTGTCTTTAAGTAGACAAAAGTTATTATGTTCATATTTCCTCGTCTTTTCTACTTTACAGCAAACAGTTTCTTATTCATGGAGACTTGGGCTCAACAGACAATTTGGGGAGATTTGTTAAACAATAAATGACTTTATAAAGTCACTTTTTTAAAATCTATATCAGTCTTTTGATCTGCCACAATAATGTAATAATGAATTTAAATGAAAATATCTCAAATTGAAGGCTTTTCTCAGCAATTTTTAGGTGAGATTAAAATGAGATTAATTAGATTAATTAATTACAGATCATAATTAATTAATCTCTCAAAATTTTTTTATCACATGACAGCACTAGTACTAGTTATGCTTTTGTTGGGAGACTAAATGCTAAACAGAGGCCAATAGTTTTGATTTAGTCTAAAAGCCCAAAGCAGGAGTTGAACATAGGAAGACTTACCATGATGCACCACTCCCTTCAGTCCATGGATGATGGGTTCCACAGCCGGGTTATCTTTGGCTCCAACCTGAGGACACAGCATTTCTGTTAGTTTTGTATTTCAGACACAAGAAATCTCCAAATGTGTTTAAATTCGAATAACAACATCTTAAAAGTCCTATATTAAGCAAAATTTACTCTTGTGAGCTTTAAGCCATGTTATAATGTTGTTACTGCCTCATAAACACACATGGAGTTGTGTTTTGTTTCATTTACACATGTTTGAGTTATCGTTTATTATTATTAAAATGCTCTGTTCCACCTTGTGATGTCATGAAGCGGCAGTTTTCAAGTTAGCAGCTACTCTTTATCTTTAGTTCTGTAGAAATTGGCAATTCCAGGGCTGAAATTATCAAAATGATTCTAATGAGGGTGTATGAAGTTTAAAAACACAGTGGAGCACTTCCTGTATTACTACATGACAACACAAAGTGGAACAGTGTCAGTGTTTTCTGTTACAAAAAAAATTGAAATAAATAAATACATTAATAATAATAATAATATAATAATAATAATAATATACATATGCAGGATTTTGAGATTGGAGATGCAGACAGACTAATAATAAAGAATTACTCAAACATGTGTGAATGAAACAAAATACAACTACAACACACTTAACAACAATACAACATGGGTTAAAGCTTACCATAATCCATTTTGTATAATATAGGACCTTTAATTATAAGAACAGAACTTCATGTCAACCAGGAACCTGCTTGACCTGATTTCGTTCGAGCTGATTTTATGCACCATCCATTAAAGTGAAAGAACTGTGTATGACTCCGTATTGTGGAGACATATTTGTTGGCCCTCTGCCTTATTTTATGAAGGTCTTGGGACTGGATTCTTGGACTACATGAGGTCTTTTGTGTGTAATTTGTTTGTTTCCTCAGAGTTTTCCTCTGAGTGCTTCACTAAAAACATCTACAACAGTGGAGGACAAGACTCCTGTGCAAAAGGGACTGTGAATCACAGTGGGTATTTTTTTTATTAAAAAGGTCAAAAAATAAACAACAATACTATCAACAGAATACCTAGTATATCAATATTAAACTATTCTCTGCAAACCATGTGTTACAGTGTTGGGAAGCATATTTCATGGGTGTATTGTATTGACTTTGACAATGAACGTATGGACTGGATCGTGTAATTGTATTCGTGCCATTGGATTCAAACAGCTTTAAGTTGTATTTGAGCAGAATTTGTCTTGCCCCAGTACAGATATATTGTATAAGTAGCTTGATATCAAAATAAGTCAACTGTGTACGGTCTGCTGTTGATAAGTGTGCGGTTGGCATGCTAGTAGTAGTAGTTAACACTACAATGATGACAAAACTCTGCTCTGGCCTCTGAAAGTAGTGAACAGCACATTATACTCTTTGCTGCAAATAATTAGAATGCTCAGAATATGTAAGGTAAGGGAAGAATAACTGTGTACAAAAATTAACTTTATTTATTCAAAATAAAAGACAGGTACCTTTAGCACTAATTCGCGAATGAAAAGCATTGCTCATGCACTTACGAAAAGAGCAGTGTTTTCTTATTTTCCTCACTAATTATGTGCAGTTTGAAGCCTACGTTGTCTGATCAAGTACCACAATGTTAGCCTGATTCATCAGCCACTTTCACTTTGTGTAAACCGTCTGACATTAGGATTCGTTCACTCGACAGTAGGTGGGTACTTTTTTATTTAACCAATTGCTGCTATTTGGTCGTGATGTATGTAATGCGCCAAATCCCGTAGGAAGAAGGGCAATAACGTCTTTCCCCTTGATAAAATTTACCAAACATTCTCTTTGTTCCGACTTGAAATCCTTGATCTTGGGAACCAACACAGAATGTATGTCTTCGTCTACATCCATCTCGACCACTTTGTTTACTGTTGTGCTGTACCCAGGGGGTACAGCACAACAGGGACCCAGACAGGCGCTTGAGTTTGACATTATGACTTCGCAGCTCTTCGCTGATTGGCCAAAGCGTGGTCTACAACTTCCAGGGATCTTGCAAACCGTCTAGTGTATTCCGATTCCTGACCCAGTTGCTGGAAAGAAATTAAATTCAGTGGAGACACTAGGCGGCACCAGCCCGGCTACCACAGTGTAGCCTATTTTAGAAAAAGTAATAGAACTGAAGTGAACTCTGAATAGTAAGTAACAGTACTGAAATATACAAGTTTAGTACATATATGTGTTTTCTGCACATGTATTTAGTTACTTCCCAAAGCTGGTGACACAATCTTCAGCGTATTCATAAATTACCCCAGGTGCTCTTAAATGTACCACCGACTACACTCACATCAACGGGGGGTTTGTGGAGTGACAGGCCCCAGTGGTGGAGCTCAGTAGGGGAAGGCTCTGGTGCTTTCTCAGACTAACATTCATAACAAAAGATGCCTCTCTTCTCCTCCTCCGCTCTCCCCGTGATCTCTCCGTCTCACACGCACACTCGGAGTCTCGCGTTCAAAACAAGCTCTTATTGCACTTTCAGTTAATATCTTCTTGTGCTATTTGAAATGATTACTGTTATGTGGGCGTCTGCAAAGTGACTGGAACATTGTCTCACTTTATCTTCCTTTAACCCTTCGAAACCTCCATACTTTTTCTTTATTGCACGTGGAACTCTGGAGTGCAGGTTTCACAGTGTGGCAGTGAAATTTGTCCATTAAGAGGGGCTATTTTAGTTCTACGGGGTATTAACTGCTAACTCATAACATATTTAGATCACCACGTTACCTTTTATTCTTTTGAAAATGCCACATTCGTTGAAAATAATGTATTAAATTGTTGTATTATTTTCACTTTCTTTTTTTGATGCTCTTAGTCTCCTCTCCCTTTACTCTCCATGAAAGTCACTCCCCCTTCAGGAGAACCACAACAATATCGCCGTGTATCCACTAATGAAACTACTGCACATCACATTATTTGTTGTGTACAGTGTACAGTTTTGTATCATGTTTTTGTACACTAGTATTTATGGAGAATTGTCATGTGGGAGCATTGATGACGTAGGCCTGTGGGATGAGTATTGTACAGAATTGCATGACATCTGCGACATATTCAGGCATGTTTCTGATGACAGAACATCATTATAACATGGTAGAAAGTTTGATTTGACATAATATCTCCTCTTTAAACTTTATGAACATGTAGCAATGATAGTGAAAGGCTATTTTAACTTGTTCCAACATATGTGTAAATATGTTGTTTCTGTAAACTATTGACACTTAAAATTTACATGTCTGATATGTGAACAAGTATGTTAATTAGGCAAGGCAAGGCAAGTTTATTTGTATAGCACAATTCGTACACAAAGTAATTCAAAGTGCTTTACAGAATAAGAAATACATTAAAATCATAATAAAAACTAATCAAATCATGAAGATTAAATTTAAAAAAGAGAGACATAAATTGGAGAGAAGACCGGAATGAAAACCTTTCAGTTATATGCACAGTCAAACAGAAATGTTTTGAGCCTGGATTTAAACAGCGTCACAGAAGAGTCTGTCTCACATGTTCAGGAAGACTGTTCCAGGTTTTAGCTGCATGAACCTGAAACGCTGACTCCCCTTGTTTAGTTCTGACTCTGGGCACCAGCAGGAGGCCGGTCCCTGAGGTCCTCAGAGTGTGAGATGGTTCATATGACACTAACATGTCACAGATGTACTTTGGTGCTCGGCCATGGAGAGACTTGTACACAAGCAGAGCTGCTTTAAAGTCTATTCTCTGAGGCACAGGAAGTCAGTGCAGAGACCTGAGCACAGGACTTATGTGCTCGTACTTCCTAGTTCGAGTAAGGACCTGAGCTGCAGCGTTCTGGATGTTCTGCAGCGTCTCACAGCTCGTTTGGAGAGACCAGTGAGCAGACCATTACAGTAGTCTAACCTACTGGAGACAAACGCATGGATAAGTTTCTCCAAGTCTGTTTTAGACAGTAAACCTTTGATTTTTGCTATGCTTTTTAGATGGTAAAAGGCTGCAGAGGGGTGTAATGATATCCAAGTCTCATAATACGATATTGTCACAGTTTGACCCTCACGGTACGATATTTATTGAGCTATTGTGGGAAAGCTCACAATATGGTGGAGAGGCTCACGAGAGATGAGATGTAACAATATCCAAATCTCTCTGTACAATATTTTCACAAAGTATATCTCACGGATAATCATTGTGATATTTTGTGGAGCCTAACAAAACTGTTTATATGCTACTTTTTACTCTTAAAACGCCTTGACAAAGAACTAAGACTTAAAAGTGCTTAGAACTGTTATTTCTTCTTGTAGTCTGCACTGAAATGGATTAAAGGATCATGGTCCATGTAGTTCCCTCTGTCTTTTTTTTTAGCTATTGCTGCACCATAACTCTTAATTTAAGCAAAGGGACTTGCAATTCGATATATTGTGATGGTCCACGATATTATTGTGAGCACTTTAATGTTATGATATCATGATATTTCAGTTATTGTTACAACCCTAATGTTAATGAGATAATAGCTTTGCATGCATGGCTGGAACAGACACAGATGTTTGTTTCCCTGAATTCCCAGAATTAAATTCAAAAACATTTTGAATTGATCAAAAGCAAAGGCTTCCAATAATTATGTAATAGGATGTAATTTGCAAACAACAAAATATCCTTTCTTTGTGATTCTAAGCGATTCTTAGTATTAGTTCAACATGTCATGTTTCAAAATTCCCTCAGATGCGCACAGTTCTAAACAAAATTTAAAAAATCACATTTAAAAAACATGAATTGATTAAAAAGATGCCATGATTAAAGGATGAAAGGAAAAAGGATTAAACGTTTCACAATTTGTTTGATCTGTTATAATGTTTTCTCATAAAAACATACCCCGAATTATGTTTTGATTCATTTAAAAAGGTTAAGAAACAAATCCTCTGACCTATAGAGAGGTAAAAGGTAGCTGTTGGAAATGACCGCTTAATGACATCACAAGGTGGAACAGAGCATTTTGAGCTTTTGAGATGTAGACAGGCTTATAATAAAGGATTACTCAAACATGTGAGAA